GAGTAAGTATAAGACAGTATAAAACAGAATAGCCAAAGCCTTAAGAATCACATTGAAATCAGTAATAAATTTGATTGGAAAAAAAAAAGGAAATAAATTTCAAGTTGAAAAACCTCTCTTCTTAAAACTATTTTAAAGTTTCGGATTAAAGACGGTATTTTGAACCATTTGACTTGCCGTACATCCAGTTGTGCTTCTTGCGCACGCTAGTTCTGATCGTACGTATGGTAACTAGGCAACTACGTAAGAATTGTAGTATGGTTGCGTAAAGGGAAACAGGCATTCCTAGGGGAACAGAATCGACTGCTACACCGGCTTGAAGTGTTCATTGAATAGCACGGAGGACTCGCTTGCGGAAAAACCTTCTCTTCTTAGAGCTACTTCCCACTGCCTCCTCAACTCGTTGTTTTTGGGAAACCTTCAATGTGTGAGAAGAGTCAGCTAACGTCAGCTAGCCAACTACTAACGGTTAACGTTAAATTCGATTCATGCCGCTTAGCCGAACTGTTGCAGCACGAGAACTGCGCTCAGTGCGGCTCAAAACACCAACCGCAAGCGACAATGCGCGACGTTGAATGACAGAAGTGATATTGCACCAATAGGTGGTTTGCAATCACGTGATTGCAAACCACCTAATGTGTAAAAAGATTGATCAACAATTATGTAACTTTGTATGGAAAAATAAGATCCATTACGTCAAAAAATCTGTTCTATCTAACAGCTACAGTAACGGAGGTCTTAATTTGGTTGATTTTGCAACGTTAAATAATACCTTTAAAATCAGCTGGTTGAGGAATTACTTGAAAAATCCATTCAGTATTTGGAATATTATACCAGAATATATCTTTTATTTCCACAAACAAGCACTTTTGGCATGGTCTGTGATTTTCAAACACATTTTTTTCCAACTAATCACTTCATTTGGAATAATAAGAATATCTGTTATAAACAATCCCTATATAAACAATCCCTACCCACCAAAGTCCCTATTTTTTGAAAACTGGTTTAAGAATGGTATCAATCGGGTTAGTCAATTATTTCATCAGAATGGTTACTTGTTTACTTATCAAGAATTTCTTTCTCACTATAAGTTTCCTGCTACTCCAAAACAGTTTGCCACTGTATTTGGTGCTTTCCCGAATGGTGTAATTATGTTATTTAAGGGCTATAACAGTGCTTTGACAAGTTCTGAAATGCCTCTCCCAGACCCAGTTGACACGTATGTAGGTGGGATATGTTTTAAATCTACATTGAAAAATAACAGAAATATTCGCTTTCTTTTTCTTAATGATTGTGTTTCCACTCCTCATGCGATTTCAAAATGGAATAGATCAGTGAACAATATTTTGTGGAAAAAGGTTTGGACGCTTCCTAACAAGTATTTATTTGTAAATAAGGTTAAAGAGATTTCTTTTAAGCTTATTCATCAGTACTATCCTGTTAAAACATTTATTGTGTCGAAATTCAAATTAAACATAGATGTGAACTGCACTTTTTGTGACACACAACCAGAGACTGTCCTGCATCTTTTTTGGCATTGTGTTCATACAAGAAAACTTTGGCAAGACATTTGCCAGTTCATTATAAACTTCATACATAATGACTTTGAGCTTTTCTTTAAGGATGTTTTGTTTGGAATTTTCACTTTTGAGAAGCAATATGGAAATATTTACTTTCTCTGCAACTTACTTATTTTACTTGCCAAATATTTTATCCACAAATGCAAGGTTATGAAAGTTACCCCCCACTTCTCTTACTTTCAAGAAGATGTCATGGTCTATGATTTTCAAACACAATTTTTCTCCAACTAATTACTTTATTTGGAATAATAAGAATATCTGTTAATAAACATAAGTCCCTATTTTTTGAAAACTGGTTTAAGAATGGTATCAATCGGGTTAGTCAATTATTTCATCAGAATGGTTACTTGTTTACTTATCAAGAATTTCTTTCTCACTATAAGTTTCCTGTTACTCCAAAACAGTTTGCCACTGTATTTGGTGCTATTCCGAATGGTGTAATTATGTTATTTAAGGGCTATAACAGTGCTTTGACAAGTTCTGAAATGCCTCTCCCAGACCCAGTTGACACGTATGTAGGTGGGATATGTTTTAAATCTACATTGAAAAATAACAGAAATATTTGCTTTCTTTTTCTTAATGATTGTGTTTCCACTCCTCATGCTATTTCAAAATGGAATAGATCAGTGAACAATATTTTGTGGAAAAAGGTTTGGACGCTTCCTAACAAGTATTTATTGGTAAATAATAGGGCTGCACGCTAAATGGCATGCGATATTTAATGCGCATCTTGTCAGAAAGCCGGTTCTATAATCAGTTGCTCACTTTTTGGTGTTTTTGTATAATTTTTATCTGATAATTATTTTGTGTTTTGAGGGAAGAGTATGTTTTTTGTTGTGTGTTCTGTTTATGTTATTTATCTTATTTTTTCTCACTTATTTATTTTTCTACTCTTTCTCTTTTGATTTGTAATTGCTGTATATTGTTTGGTCATCCTTGAACCCCTGGCTCTTTTCCTTGGCATATGTTCTGTCACACTTGTATTTCTGAATAAATGTTTAATAAAAAAAATATATATATATATATATTTTCATGTCTTTTATTTTGAAATGTTCAGTAATGTTCCTGTTTTTGGTCATTCGTTTCCCTTGCTCCTCGTTTCATGCAATGTGCTTCCCTGGGTTACATGTCATGTTCTGATTGGTTGTTTTAGTCATGTGTCCTGTTCTCTCATTGGTTCTTTGTTTGATTATTCTCAGGTGTACCTTCTTAGTCTTTAGTCTCTGTATATAAACAGCTCTCGCGTTCCCATTGTCTTCATTTAGTTTTGTTCCCTGTAACTGCTGTAGGTGAGTTTGTTTCATGTTTAAGTCTTTATTTATTTAGTATTTGTTCATGTCTTATTTTAAATAAACTGCACAGGGGTTCACATAAACTCACGTCCAGTGGATGAATGTTACAGTGAGAATGTTTTAATTATTTAGAACATTACCTTTGGATGTCTCTGACTGGGTTACTAAATTTGGCCTACACTGTAAAAAAAAAAATCTGGAAAAATAGGGCTCTATGTACTGTATTAATATGAAGGATATTTCTGTATTTTTTTTATACCTGTACTTTGAATTTTGCACTTCATTGCATTGTGTTTTAGGGTTAATGATGTCCTGGCAGTAAATTACCAGTAGCTATATTTTATATCATAAAAGGTTTGTGTATTATTATTTTATCTGTGTTCATCTCTTGTACTTTTGGCAGGTATTCAGTGAGTGTCGCAACACTTTCAGTAACTTTCGATTCCTTTCACAGGGCGTGGACAGACTGAGAGCATAAGAGAGGAAACCAAAGAAGAGAGAAAAAAACGTGTTAGAAAAAGACACTTCTATCTATCCATTTATCCTCCATCAATCCTCTATCTATCTCTCTTCAAATCAAAACTGAAAGTACAAATGAGCTTAAACAACCCTGCATTACAATTAATTAATTAGCAGAAAAATAACAGAATTTGACACTTACTAGTAGGGCTGGGTGATTTGACAGAAAATTAAAATCTCGATTTTTGCAGAATGACCGATTCTTTTTTTTTGTTTATTTTTTTTTAATGATTTTTAACTAGTGAAGTTGAAAATGTAGTAACTACAACATGATTTAAGTAACTTTTTCTTTATTAACCCTCTAGTCAAAGAAAATTCTATTCCAAGTGCATCACACATGAAGTTGTCAACCTGATGTAGGCTAGTTACTAGTTATAAATTAAGTTAAAATTACTATGTATAGGTGTATATAAAGTTTTAAAGCAGTCAGTGGTGCCATACATCAATAAACATAAAATGAAAATAATTGAAGGGTTCCCAATCACATTTGTTAGTCACTTCTTTATAACATTTCTCTCTCGCTCTCTCTCTCTCTCTCTCTCTCTCTCTCTCTCTCTCTCTCTCTCTATAATATATATATATAAACTTATTGTTTTTACAAGTGTTTCATATAGCACATGTCAACACTGTATAAACATTCTTGTTAACATTTTTTTTTTTTTTCAGGAAGCAATGGCTGATTTGAGTAAAGAAGTAGTAGAAGAGGGACAATCAAAAGATGTGAAGCAGGTAGATCACACATACTAATAATTAATCATTATTTAATGACAACCTTGTTTCAGCAGTGTTCACTTGAATGCTTGTTTTTACATTTATAGATTGTCTAAATTTAATCGAATTGCATGGGTTGTAAATTTTCATCATGCTCTATTTTTCTTTTATTTTTAGTCTTATAATGTGAAAACCACAACAGGCAGCGAGCTCTTCCCATCACCAATTTAATTAATATCCCATAAATTATGTCTGGGTGTATATTTGGGTGGAGGGGTTATAGATTAAGATGCAGATGAACTAGATTCTTTAGATGAGGGACATACTCCACATCTTCCATTCTGCTGTAGAGATCTCGTTTCATTCATGTTGGCATACACTCAAACCTGGGGCCTCATTTATCAACCGTGCGTAAGCACAGGTGTGTGCGTAATGAGTGCATAAGAACAGTTTCACGCAAAGTGTGGGATCTACCAACTTGCACTTATACGTAGAAATGTGTGTAAATATAAGCACACCTCTGAGCATGCTTACGCAGAGAATCTAGTGGTAGAATAGTGACACTACACATAAAAAGCATTTTTGAGTGAGTGATCAGAGCACACCTCGCTTTTCAGACCGATTAGCTTTGTAAAAATCGACACGTTTCAGAAAGGCGGGGCATACAATACGGGTCACTCGTAGTGTTCAGAAGAGCATTTTTGAAGCCTAAAGTGGGCGGAGCCAACCACTGCCATCTTGGCAGCGCGTCACACCCGGATAATCGAAAAAAACTTGTACTTATACGTAGAAATGTGTGTAAATATAAGCACACCTCTGAGCATGCTTACGCAGAGAATCTAGTGGTAGAATAGTGACACTACACATAAAAAGCATTTTTGAGTGAGTGAGTGAAGTGCCATACTTGGAATTAGTGCTCTGCATTTATCCCATCCAAAGTGCGCACACACACAGCAGTGAACACACACACACCGTGAACACACACCCGGAGCAGTGGGCAGCCATTTATGCTGCGGCGCCCGGGGAGCAGTTGGGGGTTCGGTGCCTTGCTCAAGGGCACCTCAGTCGTGGTATTGAAGGTGGGAGAGAGCGCTGTACACTCACTCCCCCCACCTACAATCCCTGCCAGTACAAGACTCGAACCCGCAACCTTTTGGGCTACGAGTATGACTCTAACCATTAGGCCACGACTTCCCCACACCTACCTAAAACGGCTCGTTCTAACACGCCCCCACGTCTACGTCACGATCTGGGAAGATATGCATAATGCCGCCCAAATGTTCACACAAATTAAGAAGGTGTAACTTTTATTCTCGCTGTAGTGTTGTTGCCGCCATGTCGTAAAGACGCTGTTTCGTTGTGAAAGCGAAACTACTTTGTTTGGTCTTCCAAAAGAGGACGATATCCGCTTCGTCA